TTTATTTTGCAATTGGATCAAAGATGGTCGACTGGCAGGCATCTTGTTTTTGTTTTTTATGCAGTATCTTGGACGTGCTCTGTCAGTTTTCATTCAAATTTGGCACATACATGTACTTTATACATGCTAGGATGCATGTCCATGACAATTCGTTTCAAAATCTGGTCAAGGATGGCCGATTGACAGCCATCTGACATTTTGGCCTTACTACTATATTTCCACAATTTATGTACCATTTTCATTCGTATTTGGCACATACATCATACATATCAGTGTGTTTCATAATCAGATCAAAGATGGCTGAATAACGACTGTTTTTATTTTGGCCATATCACTATGACACGAAACACGTGTTTTGATGTAAATAAACAATCTGTTGTATACACCACTTGGAACTCAAGTTTCAAGGACGTGCTCGCGACAACCCCTCCACTTTAATATGACGAGCACAAAGAGAACTTAACGGGGACTGTGTCATTTTCAATGACTTGTTTTTTCTAGACCATTTCTATCAACGCAGGGTTATTTTTTTAGACAAGATGGGCCTCGTAATATCTGCCAAAAGATCGCCCAGGCGATCTTTTGGTCCACATTTTTCTAAAAAAAAATCGAATCCTCCATAAGATCGCCCAGGGCGGGGTATCAGCCGAATCTGGTACTATCTGGTTATTATGGTGATCATATCAAGGCACATACTAAGAGGTCAACGTGATGCCATACTGCTAGTCGTAATTTCTTGAGATTTAGTAGCCAAAAATGCCAGCAGAAAGCATTTCAACAAAATATGTGACTTTGATTGTTCAGTTACAGAATTGTAAGTCCATTATTGCTAGGTCCTACTGAACATAAAGAATGTCATTCGTCCAGCGAATCTTGTTTACATTCTTGCCTCACTCCAGTTATCTTGGAGGAATCTGGTTCCTCAATCATGTCTACAATCTTGTTGCCTAGTGACTTGTTAGTTCCCGTTCGGACGAAGTCCGAAAACGGGGACTTATGTTTTGACCTCCGTGCGTGTATCTGTGCGTGCATGCGTCCGGACCTGTATCTTAGAAATGCCTGGACCAATCACAAACTTCACACATACATCATACATATGCACGTCAATTTGTTTTACAATCTT